ATTTGTTGCTTTTCGAATTTTTTTTGTTCAGTTGGAGACAATCCTGCTAAAAAACTGTATTCTGAACTAACCATACCCTTACTTGATCCAATTCCACCATCGCCGTTACTCTCCGTATCAAAAGGTTCCACTTCTATTAAATCTACATCGAAGTCATCATCTTGATTCCATTTTTCGGGGCCAGAATTATTATTTGGATGAGTACGATAATCAATATATGACATTCTGTATTTTATGATGAAAGTATATTTACAATTGATGAATTTTTAAGAGATTTCGATGAGATTTTTTTTTAGCAAAAGAAAAAAAGAATATTAAATTGTGTAATAATTATAATGAATTAATTAATGTGATAATGATGTAAAAAATAGAAATTAAGGAAAAAAGAAAAAAAAATTTGATTTAAATCATAAACAAAAAATCAAATCAAGTTTATTGTAAAGTTTTGTTGAATTAAATGACAAAAAAAAAACTTTCCAAAAGACCAGCTCAAGTTTTTTTTTTTTTTTTTTTCCTCGAGTAAAAGAAAAAAAATAACTATTGAGAACAAAAAAAAAAAAAGAGAGAATTTCTTTTGTATTAAATTATAAGAATAAAAAAAATCAGGAGTTCAAACAAACAGTTTTACTTTTGTATATATAATCAGCGTGCTACAAATAAATGTGATATTCAAGGTAAAACTGTATTTTAAAATAATTTTTTCCGTGTATGGATGTATTTAAAACGGATCTTTTTAAATTTCTAAAAAAAAAAAAAAAACAAACTAAAAACATTTTATTCCTTCAAAAAAATCCTTTTCTGTGATCTCTGTAATCTTACCACATGGATCAGTTAAATGAATCTCATGATTTTATCATATGAATGAATACATTGACAGAATCAATAATAGCAATAATAGTATAGTATTTTTTTTTTTTTTTTCGGAATTTCAATGTTTATAAAACCGGGGATTTTGAAAAATAAACCTTAATCGTATGTTGTGTAAATTACTAGCAGCACATGAGAAGAAATGCAGATCAGGTTTCCTTTTTTTGAAAATGTTCGGCAGTTTTATAGAAAGACAATATATTCTCTTTTCTTCTTTTTTTTTTTTTTTCACGTTCTCCATTAATGAACTTCCATTTCAGTGTAAAAAATTATTAATATGACACAAATTAGGATATGATATTAACTCTCTTTATTTGGAACACATGATTAAGCAAATCTAAAGTAATTAATAAATTTGTCCTAATTAGTTCTAGTAAATTCGGCTCTAATGAATTTTTCATGATAGCAATAAAAACGTCCGAATTAGAAAATCTATCCCTTTTGAAAACATTGCATTATCACACCTTTTCAACAATTAAAAATTCTTTTGAATCTTATTTGTATCGTTTTAAAAAA